TTATATATTCCTGTACATCTTTGACCATGCCAGGCCACATGTAGTTTCTGGACATCAACCCCATTGTTCATTGCCACCCAGGGTGCCCAGCCACTGGAGTGTCATGATGTCTATCTATTGCCTTGATCCTTGCAGACTCAGGCACATAGATTTTGCCTTTAAAATGGAAGAGCCAGTCTTCCCATAAATAGTTTTCATTGCCATCAAGGTGCGCCTTCTTTTCTGAGGAAATGTCTTTCTTGAAGACTTCTAAAAGATCAGAATCCTGCCCGATTCAAACATTGGCAACCCTTGATTGGTCTATCAGGGTGACACCCTTGTTGTCATCTTCAATGCCATTGGCATGATCCTCTCTTCTGGATAAAGTGTCTGCTTTCCCCATAGAACTTCCAGGCTTATGAATTAATTTGTAATTAAACCTAGACAAGTACACCACATAGCGGGCCTGTCTCCGGTTCAAGTCTCGAGCCGTCATAAAATACTCCAGATTCTTATGATCAGTCCAAATTTCAAATTGGTGCCTAGCACCTTCTAAGTTGTGCCGCCAGTGCTCTAAAGCTCTAATGATGGCCAGCATCTCCTTATCGTAAACTTGATAGTTGCGCTCTGTAGGCGACAAACTATGTGATAAATAGGCACATGGCCTCCAAAGATTGTCAGGGCATTTAATTGATAAAACAGCCCCAGTAGCAAAATCAGAAGAGTCGGTTTCTAACCAGAACTCTTTGTCTAATTCTGGGAATGCTAATATAGGCGCTGTTGTAAATGCCTGTTTAAGCTTATAAAAAGCTTCTTGTTCTTTGGCACCCCAGTGCCAAACAATGTTTTTTCTAGTGAGATTGTTCAATGGTCTCATTATCTTTGCAAAGTTTTTGACAAATCTTTGGTAGAAGTTGCCTAAGCCAAGGAAGGCCCTGACTCCTTTGATGCGAGTAGGTTCTGGCCAATTATCATACCGAGGAAGTCTACTTCCTTCACTTTAAAGTTACATTTTTCGGGTTTGACAAATAGGTCCCATTCCTGTAAGTGTCGAAGGACTTCTTGCACGATCCTGTCATGCTCAGCCTCTTCGTCTGACTTCGTAAATATCAACAAATTGTCAATGTAAATGACGACACAGTTTTCCATATCCGCAAAAATCTTGTTCATCATGCTCTGGAAGGTTTCCGGTGAGTTGGTCAACCCAAAGAACATAAAAAGGGGCTCAAAGGATCCTCGGTGGCACGTGAACGCGGCCTTCCAAGCATCTTTTTCCTTGATGTGTACATTACTGTACCCCCATCTGAGATCCATCTTTGTTAAGATCTTGGCACCAGCCAACTTGTCTACTAGCTGACTGATCAGAGGCAGCGGATACGCGTTTTTAACCATGTGCTCATTCACGTAACGATAGTCTATAATCATACACTTCTTACAATTCTTTTTAGGAATGAAGAACACCAGGGACGTCATAGGGCTTTTGGAAGGTCTGATGTAACCCTTCCTAAGCTGTTCGTCTATGAAACTTGACACCTCATCTCTTTCTGGAGCAGAGAGTGGTATCATGTGTCCTTTTCTCGGTTTGAAGGTGTCCTTCAAATCTATAGCATGGTCCCGAGGCTTAGCCTCTGGGAAGTGCTCTGATTTATGTTTTAAAAAGACTTTCCAGAAGTCATGGTACTCGGGAGGTACCAGCCTCTTAATCTCTTCTTCGGGTTTTACCTCATCATTGTCATCGTTGATCTTTTCTAGAGATCTGAGCTCATAAAGGTGATCAGCGTTTATCTTCTCAAGATGCTCATTGTGACAGACATGATTTGGTTTACCCAAGTTCACACACTCCTGAGGACAACGTGACAATGTGACAACCCCTGTCTGCCAGTCAATCTCAGGATTGTGTTTGAATAGCCAGGTCCAGCCCAAGATTAAATTAATCTTCCCTAGTTGGGTAGCTTTGGCAGTGACTTGTTCCCTGTGTCCTTGGTACTTAACAACAAAGGAACATTTGTGTGTGATACAGCCACCTGCGTTAAGCGTACCGTCAACATTATAGACGGGAATAGATACATCTAATTTTACAAGGGGGAGTCCTATCTGTTCTGCTCAGACCTGGTCTATGAAGATGCCGTTGGTGCCTGAATCAAGCAGTGCACTGGTTGGGTGTACTATGCACCGGGCAAGGTTTTCCACACCAACGTCTAAACGGATGGAATAAATACATGCGCATCAACACACGCCTTGGGATTTCGTTGAGAAGTGGCTCCGAAGAAGAAGTATCGAAAGAAACATATTTTTGTATTTTATTTTTACCAGAATCAAGCACCCTAGTGTTTGTCTCGCCGGGGCCACACTCCAAAGGAGACGCTGGTACAGCGGTGGTATTGTAAGTATTGTCAGTGTTAAATTTTTCATCGTCTTGACCTACAGCATCAGTGCTCAAAGCAGCTATATTAGCCAGAGGGCCCAAGGCGAATCCACAGTCACAGCTGCGCATACAAGTACATACTTCAGATAGTAAAGTAAGAAATCTATTTATAAATTGGGGAGCCACCCCCTTCTTTCCATTATTGCTTGTGCAACACCCCGAAGCAGGGGCCACTTTGTTGTGGTTTACTTCATTGTTTCGGGGAGCGAAGGCACCCAAGTGACCTACACTCCGAATTCTTTTCCCTGAGCCTTCATTTCATTGACCTGTTGGTCGTAAAAGAAAGCCTGGATCTCGTCATAAGAACAACCAGCCAAAGAATGGAGCTGATCGTCCAGTTTTTGTGTTTCTAACTGGTGTGCCTGGCACCCATGTTTATTTTTTTGTTGAGCGGTGTCATGCACCAAAGTTGATTGGTAGCATGGACAGGTGTCAATAACAAAGCAAATATTCAAAAAGACTCGCCTTTGCGCCACACAGGCACAGTGCCATGTGGAATAGCAATCCAGTTGCGCTCACCTTTGCTTTCCACTCGGTACTTTCCGCGTTTTGGCATTTTGGAAAATTTTTGCATCACCACTGGCTACACATTGCATTGCGCCCTTGCTTTTGTTGTTTCCCTTACTCCCCTTCCTTTGCCTAGCCCCACCATGGGCCCCTTCCTCTCTTTTTTATTCTCACCTGATGGTCATTTCTGGATCCCCATTCTAATCCACCTTTTCATTACCTCCACCCTCCTCCTCCTCATCTTATTTGCACCCCCACCATTTCTGATGTCACCACTTCCTATCCGCTTCCGTCGCCGATCCGTTGACTACCACGTGCCACTGCTGATATCAGCAAAGCCCCGGCGGCTGGTTCAAATAGGGCAACAGGTCCATCTTTATGACATTGATCTACCATCATATACTATCAAAACCTCGGTCGCTCGTCTTGCCTGGTTGGAGTGTGGGTGGGTAGTTTTTGAGCTGAAGAAGGTTCATCCCCTTGCGTCACCCATGTTCATCGCTGTCCCATTCACTTGGGTATACTTATCTTTTGTCCATCGTCTTTGCTACAGCTACACCTACCACACGCTGCCTGGGACTCACTTGTTCCAAATTGGAACTACTCCTCTCCCTCCCTCGTTTGACCAGGTGGTCCAACACAACCAGTCCATTGGTAAGGCCATGGAACTGTCGGATTTTGACTAGGTGGTGGACCGGTGGCTCCAGTTTCTTTTTCTTCAGCAGAACATTCATTTACAGTGCGATTATTTTTGATTTTTGAATCATTTTTATGGACACATGTTTTTTTAGAATGCCTGACTGACAATAAAGGAACTGTGTTGATACTGATAGTGTTTTGCCTTGCCCTTTTTTTACTGCATCTTCCCATGACACCATGATTTTCCTGCTCTCTTTTTGCTATTGGACTTTACTTTATGGCTGTACAAACCTGTGACATTACTCACAGCATTTATTGTTCTATCCCTTTTTTTCCCTTTTTTTTGACAATCTTATCCTGTACTACCTACGCAGGATTCGTCAGCGTACATTCCTTCCTTCATATTCTTTCTCATTCTTTTTGCACAGCTATACTGTGCATAGCCTACTTTTCTTTTACTATATAAACCCCTGTATTTTACCTTGTAAAAAAAAAAACAAGAAATCCAATCCAGACTTCTTCTCTACTCTCAAGTTCACTACTCTGCTACTTGTGATCCAGTGTGGTCACAACACTTCCCACTTCTACCACTGTTAACTGCTGTCATCGTCACTCGTCACTTTTGAAAGTGATTGTCATCCCCTTCGATTAGAGTCCTTCTGAGCACTACAGTTTGTGTGTCAGGAGCCTGCTATCACTGGGAACCTCGTCATCTTGTCGTTCTCAAACCTACCTTGTGCTACAATTAGCAAGGTAGTGCTCGTCTATACTCGCCACAAAGCCCCTATCTTTCTATAAATTCAACTATCCCTCCTCCTCAAAACCCACACTCATACACCTCTGGGTTTTACTTTGAAGGATCTTTATACGTACCACCCCATGAACAACCAGACCACTCCACTGTTCTAGGAGGCAAAGCCCATAAACAAGTTCCGTGGAATCTGGGAGGATTGTGTGTTAGTTTGTTTTTTTGTGTGGTTTTCTAACAACAGTTCTCATCATTGACATCGCCTTGGTCATCCACAATGCAATCCTCCTCATTGGAGTTGAGCTCCATCTCACTCAAGTCAATATTGAGCTCGTGCTCAACCTTAAGACGAATGTCCAAAGGGAGTGCGGGAATGAGAAAGGGAGAGAAGATATCTTCAGGGCGAATGGCCAAATAGTCACTTGAACCAAGTAAAAATATTCTAAGGCAGCGGCGCTAGGAAAAAACATGAGTACACAATACACAAGAGAAAATAAAGGAACATTACCAGGAAAGAAAACCGAGTCCAATGCAACGCATCAACTTCAATACTGTTGCTTGCCAGTGGTTTGAGTACATTGATAATGCTTGTTTTTTGGATGAGAGATTTGATTAACTGTTGATAGTCTCAGCTCCTCAATTTTAACTTGTAAGACGTGACTTACTGCGCTTTTGAATGAACCACGGATAGTTGATAGCATTCTAGTGACCATCTGACTCAGCTTTTTCCGTAATGCTATATCCTGAAAGAGTTCAGGCGGCATTTTGAAGATATGACACTGTTCTTCCATGAGCATCTGAAACCACTAATCAGACATATACATAAGAGAAAGGAACAGCAGTACCATGACATGCACTTGTGTTTCAAACAAGTATGCTTTGATGTCGGGGGAGAGCATGCATCCAGTAAGACATATCTTCATGATAACCTTCACACCAAAGTCAGACATTTCCTACGAGTAATCGGACTTGATATTACCTCGCAGTCCTTTGATCCAAGCTGTTTGTCCATCTCATCAATCTTTGCATCTGCCAACTGTTCATCCTTTTGGAGATGGCTTGCCTTGAGATCAAGAAGCATAACAAATAAATCACCGGACTACAATTTATCAGTATAGATCCATTACATTAAATTATTGAAAGTTACCTCAATAAACTCGCAAAGTTTCTTCTCTGCAACACCATACTGTGTTGCAAGTTTCTTGGCAACCACCTTGAGTCGCTTTGCATGGTGTGGAGTGAGCTGCAAGGACTTGCACTCATCATCATAGTCCCGCTCTTTGCGAATGCCGCTGTTTGAAGAACAATTGGAAGAACGTGTCTGCCGCTGGGACAGACTATGATTGTCAAGCCTAGCGGAAGTTGATCGACTGGTAACACTTGTTTGCTGCTGTGAGTTGTAATCATCAGTAGCTGCAGATATCAATGATAATCTAGATGGGGTTGCTGCTGTGTTCCCATTGGATGGTGTCCTCTTATGACTGGATGAGGACGAGTTAGTAGTAATAACTTGGTCCAGTCTATCATGGAGTCTGCTAGCAACAGGTGATGCTCAACCTTTGCCTTTGGAATTGGAGCTCCCTGACTTTGAGTTCCCTGGGTGCTGTTTCAACATCATCCTGGTGAATATGTTGAGTGAATAAGCAAAGCAAAATGAAGAAAGGGAGCAAAAACAAACGAAGGAAGTTCTATATAAACCATTTTTTTTACGATAATATTGTGTTTGGCTGTAATAGTCTAATATTCCGGAACTCCGGTACACTCCTTATTTCGGCACATGAAAGATAAATAAGACAAAGAAGACCAAGGTGTGTTTTTCAGATAGTCATAGTATGTCAGTATTTATTGTAGAGGCCAGTATATGTGACAGTATTTTACCTTTTTCTAGCGAAAACTACAGAAACTTGAGTCTTGAGTCTTTGTGGGCGAATATTGAGGTACAAAAGCCCCGCTGGACTGCACTGGTGTATATATATCATGATACAAAGAGGCTGCAGGGATTGGTTGGTAGTCCTGATGTTGAATGGGAGGAAAAGACTGGTGAGGACAAGGAGAAAAAGAGGAGGGATGATATGAGGCTTGGGAAAGTACAGGTGGGGGGGATGTGTGCATAAACGAACAATGGGGGAGAGGATTATAAGGATGAGTGTTATATGAGGCCTATGAGTCTGTAGGAGGACCTGTGCATGTGAGGCTTCGGGAAGAGCAGATGAGGATATGTGCATAAATGAATGATGGGGGAGAGGATTATAATAACGAGTATTATATGAGGCCTGTGAGTCTGTGAAAGGGACCTGTGTATGCGGGGCTTGTGTATGTGATGGGCGTCCTTGTGAAAATGGATAATATGGATGAGGGGAAGGATTATATGAGGCCTGTGCGTGCATGAACGGATGTGGTACCTGTTGTGATAAGGGGTCCACAAGTATTGCTGAATGAGACAGCCCCGCAGCTGGGCCACTGCAGGCAGATACTTGTTTCTGCTTTGCGTTAGTTTTTTTGGGCTTGCTGGCCTTTGTGCGGTCAAAGATAGGCTTAGGACTATTGGTTACATCCTTGCCTTCTTTGTGTGACTTGGCGAGTTTTGTGGCTCTTAGCTGTTGAACAGCTAACCTCCTGACTTCCTCGACAGAAGATACACGTATTGGTGTTTCAAGCAAATGGGCTGGGAGAACAGTGCAAATACAAGAATAGTTGTGGATAGAGTAAGTATTTAAAAAATACAATGAGGTTGGTTTGTGCTGAAAGATGCTTTTGACTCTTTTAGTGACGCAGTGTTCCTGTGTAATTGGTTTCTGTGATAGGTCATTACACTTTGAATCAATACAATTATATTGAACATTCACAGCGCACACAACATCCTGTAGTGGAGATTAAATATTAGAGTGAATATTATGATTGATAAAGCAGTACTCACCGAGGCTGAGACAACTATCTCTTGAGTGCCAAGTTCAAGACATGGTAGATGGAGAGAAGGGTGGAGAGTAGGCAAGAAAGAAAAGGCCTGGATCGTTACATACTGAACACAACAATCTTTGCGTGTAGTAGATTTTGTGATTAGGATCTCACGAATGCGACCTACTTGAAGCTGTTTATCAACGGGGTGACAGAAAATGATGTGGCTGTTCAGAGTAGATTTGTCACCTTCACTTGTGATAATAGAAGAACCTTCCAAGAAGGGGTGATTGTCCTGCTTGTTTGTGAGAATAGCTGCACACCGGCTGTCCTTCCACAAGATAGTTTTATTAACTTTCTTCCCCTTTCTAGCTACTTTGAGGACGTGACCGGTACCTGAAGCCAATAAGTCAGTACAATACAAATGTGATGTTCCAACAAGGTAGTAGCTCACCGGGTGTGGAAGTGGCAGAGCCAGAAAGACCTAACAATTGAGCTTGTGCAGGATGCTCATCTATGAAACCCAGAACTTCTGTGCCTCCTCAAACCCATTTTTTAACGTCAGAGTCATACCAATAGCCGCTTGTCGCAATATGTTTGATAATGTCCTGGCAAGCAAAGGTCTTGCATGTGTCTCTGCTAGGAGCCTGGTGATTGCTGAAAATGCATGTGAGACAAAAGACGTGATTGAATGCCTCATATCTTTCAGTTGAAAATACTATAGCAGGCCCAAACCATCGGATATAAGCTGGAAGGTAAACTAAAAAATGGAATTTAGGTTTGCTAATGAGAATGCTTCAAGCGCATTGAGCAGTGACATTAAGAAAGTCATTGATCGTTCATGTTAATTTGGCTAAGTATACCTCAGTATCTTTGATTTCTGTGTGCCAGAGGAGGACCACAAGCTCTCCAATCAATGTCCAGGCATTGAGAACGCTCCGTGGAACCAGATCATGAATAACAAAAGGCATCAGCTGTGTGAGGCTCTTGAAGTGTTTACCAATTAATCCACCTTTATAATGACAAATGTAGTCAGCGTTCATAGATGGCGCGTTCAGACCTTCTTTGTCAAATGAGTCAAGACGGCAGTGGAATATATCAAGTGTTTTTCCTTTTTCAAGTAGGAAAACAGTTTGGGCCCAGAAGTATTTGACGACTCCCAGGAGGATTGTATGGAGGATCTCCATGGGAGTATCCAGGTGAATGTTCATATCTACAAAGAATAAGCTTTCATACATTAGGATTAATATAAATGTACTATCCATTCCTAAAAGTGGGTTGATTGCAGTGTCAAAATCAGTGCCTTGTAGCATTTCTTCAAGCTGTTTCTTCTGTGCGGCCTGTATGTCAACTTCAGAGGTTGCAGGACTATTTAGGGGATGTTTGCAGAGTTTTTTCCCCAGTTCAACCAGCGTATTGATAATCTTCGCTGTGGTCTTGTCACTTATGCCAGTAGATGCTGTTGCCGCCTTGATATTACTTGTAGCACCTGGTTTGAAAGTGAACTCAAACTGCTTGCGTATTTCTGCAGCTGTACTCTCAGGCTCATGTGCTTCTCCTGCCTATGGTGCTGATTAGTGGTGTTTCAGATTTGTTGTGAAACCACCTACTACGAAGATGCTGTTATATCCTACTTCAGATTCTTTGTACTCCTTTGACCCGCCAACTTTACATGTCCTGCATAAATAATTACAACAGAGTCCTGCATGGCTGCATTCCTCTGCCTGCATGGGGTTGTCACCCGCAACGAAGTGTCCATGGGGAATGAGTAGTACTTCTTCCTCATTTTTACAATCCCAAGCAACAATACCATCTTCTGCTGCTTGACTGTTTGATTTTGATTTGAGAGTAGGAAAGTGAGAGAGAAAAATTGACAGGACTCACGCAATTGATTGCTTCATAGCACGCATCAGTTCCATGTGTGCTGCATGTGGAGAAGACGTCACAAAACAAACACAAAACTCTTTCTCCATAACTTGACGAGGGAGGTTCGCATTCAACATATAAATAATATGGTGCTTATTCCACTGCTTTGAGACATTCCCAGATATGTCGTCCATGAATATAATGAGAGGAACCAAATAAACCATTCGGCCATCTGCCTTCTTGCGGAGTGGATGTGGAGCGAGTGTTGCAAAAATTTTTAGAGGACTCTGTTGTAATATCTGTTTAGAGTATTGTATATACCTTCATCACACACACCTGTAAGCCCGCAGCTAAGTCCATTGGGGTATGAAGAGATGTCTTCGAATGAGCGGTAGAATATTGATACAGGTATAACTTCTCGTTCATCATTCACAATAAAACCATCCTGTGATAATTTGTTATATGTCAGGGGAGAGCAATTAAATGTGCATACCTCTGTTTGTTCAACTGCACGTCTGAGTGCATGAAGTTCTTTAGTCCCAGTTAGATCATATTTTAGCCCATTCTCTGCTACAGAATAGGATGCCATAAAGAAGTGCTCTGGAATGAAATAATGGCCTGAAGACAACTGTAAGATCTCATTAGTAAAGTATATATCATCTCCTATACGAGCTGCCGGAGGTGAGGTGCCCACTATCAGAGATTTCTCACCATGCCATGTCTCTGACATTCCCTCACCACCATCTTCAGGATAATCCTGCATCCAATGATGTATCAGGGGATTGGAGTAATCCTATAACAAAAATCAGCAAGATAGATTAGAATTGTATGTGATCAGACTGACCTTAGCGATAGCGCTACCTATATTGTTTATATAGAAGATGTCACCTGAAATTGATGTTGCTTTCTCTGTTGGATTTCCAACTAAGTTGTATACATGCTGCCGAGCAGTCTTGACTGCACTCAAAGCAGGTACGTCTTTAGCGCCTAGCTCATTGGCCCATGAAAGAACTGCTGTTTTCTGCTGTTCAGAAAATGGTACACGAGCAGATCCGAATAGAAGGGCCATTAAGAAATGCTTGAGAGAGAGAGATTTAAGAGGTTGTGACAAAAGTAATATATTGTTTTTGACTTACAGCCTTCGACGACCACGGGTAGTATGGCGAGTTTGCAAGTACTTTTGCACTCAACCGCAAGGGATATTCACTGTCATCAGAGGACTCGGCTGGAATAAAACAGTGAGTAAGAACACTTTTAACAAAATATACTTACTCACTCAGCATTTCAATTCCAAAATCACTTTCAAAAGGTTCTTAAAGGCCGATTTCATCATTTGAGGATGAAAGGTGTGGGGTGAATAATGTATCACCTGCATGTATGGATTCCTTTAGCTGCTCAAATAGGTCTGTAAAGTGACCTCCACTGATTTGATATGTACGGTCATTTACATTGATATCCCATAGGTCGGAAAGAGGAAGTTGTTTCTCAATTGAGTCAACCGGTGGGGATGTTTTTCGTAAGGGAGGTTCCTGTGTGCAGGTGGGATCAACTTCCTTGGGTGATGATGAGCGTGTGTTGTGTTGTAAAAGATCGTCAATGGTTGGCAGGGGACTTGAACTCATAGCTCTTTGATATTTCTTCTGGATAGTGGCATAACCCATCCTCGACATCGATTTGGTGTGCTTTGCGCTGGATATGTGAGACTTAATGTGTCTGCGGTCCATCGACAGATAAACCCCTCTGACTGGACAGCAAACCATGCACTCCACACGTTTACCATAGCTGCCACCACACGAACGAAAAACTGCAGAAAAAAAGTCATGAGAATAACTTCATCGAGTAGTGTCCGATCATCTAGTAAACTAACCTTTGTTATCTATTATTACTGGACGCATTGTGTTGTTCGAGTCCAAGTCTGAGTCAATCACTGGCACGTTCAAAGTTAGATATGATCACGTGTTCTCTTTCTCATTACACTGTTGCCATCATTTTCAGACCTTCCCACCACAACGAGCACATTGACAATACAAGTCCAACTGAACGCCAGAAGCTTGACTGAGGCCAATGTTAACCCACCACATAAAAACACCAACATATCTACAATCTATCCTAAGACTCGGTTTACAAATACCGACGACACATTCCTGCAGCCAGTGGTTGTTACCATATGTTTTCCGGGTGCTCTACCAAGGCATCTTGTTGATAATGGCATTGCAAGTCTTTCAACTTCCCTGCATTGTCTTTCATCGACTTATATTGTGTAATATTTCTTAACCAGTTGAGTTTTCTGTAACTCTAGCAGAAGAATATGAGCCATTCACAGCGCCAGTTGTTCAAGCTGTTTCTTGGAATTATTCTGGGTCATCAGAACAGTCACTTCACTCTGGTGATGTGAGTGTTTTGTTCTTTTTATTTAAATCATATTTGTTCTGATTTTTCTTTGACAGACATGCTTTATGGACAATGGCAATGATTCCAAATCCTCGAGCACCTTTGACGACATTCTGGTCGATTTTCTCCCGCTTTCATGTTTATTCAACCACTTAAGGACACGGCATTGGTTTTTGCTGTCCAAACAGATTCAGGAGTGGCTTGTCACCGTGCCCAAGGAATTGCAGCATTGGTCATGGGGCCGAGATGCATTTTGGTTTGCGTTCATTGGTGCCAATCCGAACTTTCCAAATGGCTCGTGGTCCAAATGGGACCCAAGAATTCCGCTGCAAGGTCAGTTTATTGAGCGCTGGTTGGAAGACTGTTCAGATGATAACATGGAACCTAATGCAAGCGAAGAGGAAGTTCTTGAGCGGATCTGGTTTGATTTTTGTAAACATGCAGGTCTATTTTATCCTTACACTCTTGTTTCTTCAACTTAAACTGAAATATGTACTCGAGCTCTGTGTAATATATGTAAGACTCACATGCACATGAGATTGTTGTTTATCACTATGCATTTTTATTGTGCTTTTGTAGACAAAATATACTGTTGAGTATCACTCGCTCTTACATTCCGAAGCAAAAGGTTGAGATAGTAAGAATAGATGCAGACACATGTCTGACAGATTTATTGGTCAGATATCCAGACAATATAGTACATATATAAGGCGGATGTGCAGTCTCATACATCCATTATACATCTAGCTACAAGCATGTCCGAACATCCAGTGGCACACATCTGCCGAACCTCTTTACTACGTCCGTACGATACCTGAGCACTGTAACTCGAATAACTACGTAAAAGCTCGTCCCGATATCTCTAGGCCGACCTCCATCATACAAATTTGGTTTTGTGTCATACATATATCCTACTTAAGTCAGGCGAAGGTCAGCAACTTGTCCCTGGTATCCTTTCCGCACTATATCTTTTTGGTATATTCCATTTTTGGCCGTGTAGGCAAAGTTGACTTGTCATCAATGTCATCATTGTCTAGCTCTGCATTCTCTGATGATGACGTAGTTCTATTGTCGTACAAGGCGTGATAACCACATTGCATACTTCCACGCTGAAAAGGTGGTTTTACTACATACTCATAAAAAGTTTTAGATACTTCTCCTTATACTATGAAAGTTTCTGGTCCTGTGATACCAATATAAAATTCTACTACTATTAAGCACATGGTATATCTGCATAGGGCCGGGTGCAGGACTGCCCGGAGGGCGATTTCTTGTCTGAACCATATGAATTGATTCCAGCGGGCTGTGAACAATATCTGGCTTTAGTCTGTATACCATTTACAGTGTGGGAACGTGAGCGTTTGAACGGCATGTAGGCTATCCGAAGTTTCGGAATAAGCTCGGAAATTCTCGATTATGTAATACAAAAATATGTGACTACAACACTAGGGGGTAGCTTGGACACCCACCGCTGACAGGATTTGCAGTCTGCTCTGAAAGAATTGTTACTCAAATGTGGTTAGTGAGCTTTTGTCAGCTTTGCCTTTCGCTTTCATGCCGAGACCTGTTCCCCACCATGTCCCGACCATAGCAAACACGTCCTAAATGCCCAAGTTTCGATCCGCGCGCCCTGTTGCAAACAATGGTTTGACTGCGCCGAATGCCATGCCGAATCGCAGGACCATAGACTGGCGAAGACGACTGAGATGGCATTCATATGTAAGAAGTGCAAGAAGGCATTTCGGAAAGATATGACTGCGTATGAGGAAAGCGATGAGTATTGTCCACATTGTGACAATCATTACGTGAGTTCTCCTTCCGTCCCAGCACCTTTTTTAGCTTTGCGCCTGTGTGACTTACAATGAGATCTGATGGTGTGGATCGGCAGGTTCTTGAGGCGAAAACCCCTCAGGCAGCTATCGGCGTTGAAGGTGAGGATGCGAGGGTCGATGCGCGGTGAGTTAAAATTAAACTATTTGAGGCTCTGTTACTAATTAAAAGTTCGACATTTCTCCCTTGTAGCATGCTGAAAGACGACCGCGAGAGGCACGACCCAAAAAGGTCTCTATTTACACGAGACGTATCTGATCGAATGGGATAGATTGAGACAGAATACTGTGGCAGGCTGCCCGTTGATAACATTTGCTGTGACTGCATTGAGTTTTCTGTCTTCCCCGTTTCGCTTCTATTTTTATTTTGTTATACCTCTGTTAGGTGACCTGGTGACTGAATCGATCTATACCCCTCTTCTCGTGGTGACCCCGATCGTGACCGCTAATGATGACACCATAGCCTCTTCCCTGGTCGCAACAATTCCCGCCGGGGCCTTGCCCATACTCTGATTCGGCCGATTATTGGGTTCTTGGTTCTAGATGAGGCTGAGGCTCGGCGATGATCAATGCGAAGTCTCCTAACTCTCATTTTGTGGTGACAATGCGCAACTCAATCATATCATTACCTTGTGAAGATGACGTGTTTTCCGGAGGAGCGGTTGAACTCGTCCTAGTCGTTATAAGCCCACGCAACGATTACAATTTGTGCCCCTGAAGTGCTGAACTCTTTTCCCCTAGGCTGACGCGCAATTCAGTCACACGTGACGTCACCCGGAATTTATGCCGCGGCGTTGGAAACTTTGACCCCTTTCTTGAGTCTGCGACTTGGTCTGCGAGTGGGTACTGCGCTGACGAGCCATTCAAATGACCTGCCTATGCCGTTCTGCGATCGTCTGATTTGATATGGGGGGTCTAGCTTATTCTTTCAGTTCGGAGCCAGTGGTGTGGCAAGCTCCAAGGATCCGGTCACACATACAATTTGCACGGGCAAGGTCGGTCTGAGAGTATAGATGCGGGGCGGAAAGCTGAGGGATACTTCGGAGGCCTGTCTCAGTAACATCTTGGCTCCATACGTACGTGATGACTCATGCAAGAAATATTTTTGCCAGGCTATATAAGAAGGGCAGATTGCAAATCCTCAAAACTCACCGCTTCCTCCGCTCCTACATCCTCTTCATTTCCATACCACACATTTCCCCTCCACTCATAGAGCATCATGTCAAACGACGCACTCCAGAACAACCCTGTTTCGGGAGACCGTCACATTACTACACATGCATCTGATTGGCTTTGGGCGGTATTTGCTGTTATGTTGCTCTCCATGTTGATCGCTATATTTTGGCACGGAGCGGTGAGTACTTTATTTTGTCATGGTTTTACTTTGGTTAATTTCAACGTCGATGCAGAGTGTGAAGAGACACCGCTACTTCCATCAGATTCCCATCATTGTCCTTACGGTGTCGACTATCGCATACTTTTCGATGGCATCCGACTTAGGCTATACCACCATTCCTGCTGAATTTGGTCGCAATTACGGAGGACATCCAACCCGTCAGATTTGGGTATGTGATCTGTTCTTGTCATGTCAAGGTCTGTAAATGTTGACACTTTCTTCTTTAAGTATGTTCGCTACATCCAATGGTTTATCAACGCTCCTCTGCTGTTGTTGGGCTTGTTGCTCCTGACAGGCTTGTCTTACTCCGATATCCTTACAACGATCTTCTTTGCGCTTGTTCTTGTGGTTACGGGACTCGTCGGCGCCCTCACCACTAGCTCCTACAAGTGGGGATACTTCGCATTCGGTCTCTTTTCGCTGTTCTATTTATGGTAAGGTTGTGCAACGTTTTTTATATGGATCGAGCTCATTCTATTGTAGCTACCGATTGCTTGGTCACTCAGCGCGATTCCCGTTCCGAGCCGGTGCAGGCTCACGTACAGGATTCCTTGTCGCCTCATCCTACCTCACCTTCATCTGGATGCTCTATCCAATCTGTTGGGGTCTGTCCGAGGGTGGAAATGTGATAACCCCAACGAGCGAGATGGTATTTTATGGTATCCTCGATCTGTTTGCGGGACCCATCTTTTTGGCACTTTTCTTGAACATGTTACGGAAGGTGGAATATAACAAGCTAGGTATGGATACTGGGAGGGCAGTTACCAATGAGAAAGGTGGGGCTGGGGTAGGACCTGGAACGTCTGGGACCGCAGCTAGTGCAGCACCTGGCGCAACGGCAGCCGGAACAAATGCTGCTGTTTAACGGGTATATGCTCAAAGTTATCGTTTCATTTTCCCCAACTAACTGGTAAATGCCTTGTTTCGAAAAACAAAAGATGAACTAGTTTATCTATTTTTCCTATATTTGTATTATATCACCCGTCAATGAATTTAATCCGAGACACATGGCCTATGATATAGATAAGTCATATCTTACTCATCAACTTGCAGTGTTGTTTTGATGGCCATATGCAAGTAACAACTCAAAAACTTTTGGACAAGCAGTGCGTCCTCCCACGTAACACGGTAGGAAATATTAGCTTGGTATGATAGACGCTCAAAACGGCTTTCATGTAACCCCGATTTGTGCGCGTCACGAAAAGTTTGAAAATTAAAGCAAAGATTGCAGTTCTCGATAAGCCAAATGGTCGACAAGATGATGGTTATCCTTCTGTTACATTCAAAAAGTGTTTGCAGCGAATGGAATATCAGAAAGAAGCTGTGTCATGGCACATCCAGCGCACAGAAGGCTACTAAATACTGATGCGGTAAACATATACCGGATAATACCGAACCCACGCGAACCCAGTCCAGTGCAAGGAAACCTTTTGACTTTACAACTGACAGCGCTGAAACCCTTTACTCAAGCCATTGACGCTAACGAGCTTCCGTCTATAATGTCTGCACGACGACAGTCGTCGACAACATCGCTGGCCAAATACGCTAGAGCCAACTCACCTGATTTGTCGCATCGCTCACTCGACTTCTGTAACGCTTTCTGGGGTATTGGTGATGGAGGTGTCGATGTCCTCTTTGCACGCATGCGTGGGGCTTCGAGGACTATGGATGAACTGAGGGCATTTTGGAAGGAGAGGTGAGCTTCCCGTTTGGTGGCATTCTCCAGTGATTGTCTCAAGCGCTATCGTCGTCTCAGGTCCGCCATTGAAGAGGAATACGCTAAAAAGCTTGCGAAATTGGCCAAAGTGGCCATGGGCAAGGACGAGATTGGGTGTGTATCACACTTTACTTTCCACTTTTCTTCTTCTTCAGCCTGTTTCGAGTTCCGCATCCGTCACCGGATGACGCTCGAGTATTCGTGCAGGAAGGCATCAGTTCATATCGCAATAGTGGTGTGAACCGCCTCTGCCGAACTTTCGTGGGTGCGATCAGGAAGTCCGCACCATACATGCTGGATCTTTGCATTCCTGAGCCCTTTCTCCTACACATGCTTTAGTGTCTTGCTCATGCGTGTACTGCTGCGGATGCCGCATGCACTTTGCAAACCATGTTTAGCATGTAGATGATCTTTCCCAGCGCCCAGGGACGGATAATCTTAATTTAGCTTAAATATTAACATCGCTAGTCCAATTGGGTTATCTAACCACGACGATCACAGAGAGCTACGGAATTCACTGGACACTCTCCGGCTAGAGACCGATAAGCAAGCAGCCTGCCATCTGCAGCTTGGCCAACAGATACGCACGGACCTGGAGGGTCAGGCTTCTGCTTTCTTCGCGAAACAAACGCATCACAAAAAGAACTTCCAGGCGACTATTGAGAAAGAGTTCAAGGTGAAGCAAACTCGAGAACAACATGCAAACAAGGCACGCGAGAAATACGAGTCTGATTGTCTGCGTATCAACTCATACACTGCCCAGTCCACGCTAGTTCAAGGGAAGGATCTTGAGAAGATTCATCTTAAACTTGAACGGGCGCAGCAGACTGTACAGGTTAACGGGAATGATTATAGCCAGTTCACACGCGTGTATCAGGAGACGGCGCAGAAGTGGGAGCAGGATTGGAAGGCATTTTGTGACAGTTGCCAGGACCTAGAAGAAGAGCGTATGGAGTTTATGAAGGATAATATGTGGGCGTATGCAAACGCTGTTTCTACGGTTTGTGTCTCTGATGATGAGGTGAGTTTTGATATTCCGGCATGTTGTGGTGGCTGCTGTAGCTAATATATTATCAGTCTTGCGAGAAAATGCGGCTCGCGCTAGAACAGATGGAGCCAGACAAAGACATGGAGAACTTTGTTCGAGACTATGGAACTGGAAATGCCGTGCCAGAACCCCCTGCATTCGTGAACTATGCCAATACCGACGCCCCTCCACCCTCAGCCAATCGGATAAGCACAAGGCCCGCTAGTTATACACGATCTTCTCAGCGGGCTGCGAACCCACGAAACGCACCTCCTCCCCCAGAAGAGGAACCTCAAGATAATAGAGCAGGAGTAGGCGCAGGTGGTGGTGGTGGCGGTGGTGGTGCGAGAGATGTACCTCCGGAAGCCACACTCGCGAGAAGTCAGACTCAAGTATACCAGAATGGTCGATCCCCTACCAATGCTACTGAATCCGCTAATGTGAATGGATCATCCCGATCGCCGCAGCCAGATGTAATGAGGCGAGCAAGTACGCGGGGAAGACCCAAGAGTACACATGATCCTCGAGGTGTGGATCCTATCGATCCAACGGTGAATAGTACTATGCTAGTTGTTGGAAATGCAGCATATTCAGTTGACCCCAACAATGATCCACAGCAGCAGAAGGGGACACAAGTTCGTACGTCACCGCCCATTGGCGAGCAGGGTGACCCTCTAGTTCAAAAGATGGCGGAGCTCACTAGTGCTGCGAGCGGAACCACGCGTAGGCAAAGTATGCGAAACCCGCCGCCGGGTGCGGGGCAGGGACCTATGCGGAAGGGGACTTTTGAGGGGTCTTCACTTAATACACCATCCCCCAGCAATGGTGGAAGAGTAGACCCCCAGCAAGGATATCGCAACTCGGCTGAGATTGTCGTGGGCTCGTACCCCATGGCCTCGTCACGGCCAACATCGCCCAACCCCCCGACAGCAGTTATGTCTGCACCACCCCAGCAAATACTTCCGCCTACTGCTACAAACCTCCCTGTAGAATCTGTCGTCAACAACTACCAGCGGCCATTCCCCGGGGAAGCTCGAAGCAGATCGAATAGTTATCGGGCAAGTATAACAGGTCCTCCACCCACTGCGGCTCCGACCCAAGAACAGAATGGGGTGCGTCCCACTAGTCGCCAGGGCTATGCTGGGATTGGTGCACAGCCTGTTTCGAGGAGTGTTAGCCCTGCAAACCAGCCTGCTCCATATGTATACCATCCGCCACCTCCCAACCAGCCAGTCCGTGCTCCCTCAATTTCACAAAGGCCAGTCACGCCTAACCCTGTTGGCATCATTCTTGGCCCCGACGGCAGTGTTCATCACGATAGTATGTATACCAACAACGTCCCTCAACAATATGGTGCTCCAGGGCAGGGCCAGCAGAACCGTGATCCTCGATACCATCCTATGAACCAACCGCAGAGACCAAGTTACGATAACGGGCCAACGACTCAGCCTCCAGCAAACTATGCCTCTCGCACGGTATATGTCCCACCGCCTCCTCACGTTGGGTACGATCCCCCGCCGCCATCATCGGGCGGGCATTATGCTCCACCTCAACCAGCACCGAACCAATACAATGCTCCTCCTCAGGCGGCATATGGGCATCAGCCTGTCCGGTCTTATAACACTGCTGTGACGCAGCCGCCGCCCAACAATATGTATCACTACGGAAACAATGCATACCGCGCTCCGAGTCCGGCACGATCTCCGTCTCCTCAGCCGCCCCGTCAAGCGGCCCCTCCAACTGGGACATATACAGATGACGGCAGGCCTATCCTCTTTTACGGTGAGTTGATATTATAAAGCACATCAATATTGATAAGCCAGGAATTCCGGTGTTAACGCTGATACATTGATCCCATTATTCATAGTGAAAGCGCTTTATGATTATTCGGCGACCATAGAAGAAGAGTTTGATTTCCAGGCAGGCGACATTATTGCAGTGACTGATACGCCAGAAGACGGGTGGTGGAGCGGTGAACTGCTTGATGAAGCAAGAAGACAAACCGGAAGACACGTTTTCCCTAGTAACTTTGTGTGTCTGTTCTAAGGTATTTTTTCTATTTTAACTCAAATTGCCTTCGCGTAGTGCTGACTTGCCTTTTGTGCCCATAGAGATTCTTTATATGATTCCTTTCATGCACGTGCTTCTGAGTGTTCCTTCGTATCTGTTATGTATGACCAGCGTATGCTATGTACTAACCTTCAATGATGCAATTTGAATCATATGATGCATTTATCATCATTTCCCCGATCAAGTTACCTTCTAAGCAATCGCAATAAGAACATGTTGAGAATGGTACTGTAGGGAATGCAATGTTGATGGCTCAGCCGGCGCCTGACCCTGGCTTGTACGATCACCATGTTTTCAATATTCCCCAGTTGCAGTTTAGTTTCGTCGGTAGGCTCTAATATCCGTTCTAGCTTGTTCCTCGTCCAACCCATTCCAGTGTCTCGTTATCGGTAATCAGCTGGACCCGGACCTTGCAGCGTCTTGCCTCCGCATCAGTTTCGCATAGGTCAGAGGTCCTTTGCCATCATCTTTACTATAACTGTACAAGGCTTCTGAATATACTCTAACTGAGTGAATGAAGAATGCGCGCTTTCGGCAAACTTGAAAAGGAAACTAATATTATACTAGTAGTAGCTGTAGGAACGACACGTAAGATGATAATTGAACCCCCGGCTGGGCTGTGTCTTGCTGTGCAAGGAAACGCTTAGATGCGAACCGGTGCCTACTTCAAGGATACCTGTCACATTTTTTGGACAGACCTATCTTTACAGCGTTTCGAGACAGTCAGTATGGTGCGGCCGCTATTTAAGACGGGCTCGTGTTTTCGGTTTACCATCATTCTCCCATCCTCATCGGGGCTTGCTCTTGCATATATTACACCTCACAGTGCTTCATTTTGAATCATCTCTGGACTGTTCTCTTCTGTATCACTACTGCATTGTTCTCTGAAACTTTCGTTGTCTTAAGCTCTCGTCTTCGCGGCTAGCACCATCATCTGCACTTGGTTGTTTCACTCCAGAGCCATTGTCTTCTATCGTATAACATCGTCATCCACATATCCTCCATCTCTTATCATGCGCCCCTACGCCATCTACGAGCACCCTGACTTCATCGTCCCATCGAAGGAAGACACGTCGACGCTACAGAAAGTAGCATACGCATTGACTATCGTCGCCGCTTCTGGCGCTGCAATGTATGAAATAGCCGTTCACAGTGGGGTTGCATGAGCAAGGTTCGTAGCATTACTTTCTCTTCGTGATGGACGCGCAGCTCAGTATGGTATAGCTCGTCTGCAGAACATTTTACATCGGACTTGACCGTGGCTCAATCACGATTTCTCCCACCACCTCAAATGAGAATGTATATCAAGGTTTCATTCCAAATCGATCGCAACTATCATTATCATCATCAACGGCCGCTGTAGGTTGGAATTAGAGTGCAGAATACTCATCTTCCCGCGGAGGTGCTTCAGAGGGCTGGTCCTAATCTATTCTAATTTATCTCATCTTATTAGCATGTAACTTTCTTGCTGTAGTTGTATGACTTGTCGGTGTAAAACTCGGTGTAAATTATTACGAGCTTGATGTCTTATTTTTTTGGGAATTATTAATAATGTTCTTGGGAATTGGAAGAGGCCGTCGAGGTTGTGATTTAAATCTAAGTGGTCAAGATTTGCTTTAAGTAACGCACCTGGGATATCTAATGCTGACAGTTTCTTATCAAATGGTCTGTAAGGGTATAGTGTATGATGGCTCGATCGTGTCATACCGAGTCAACTGAAGGAGTAAAGATATGATGTAAAGGAAGATAAATCTATAGCTGGTTTATCCTTTGTTGCATCTTCTCCTTCACTGTTTGATAAGCACTCATGATTGTCTGCTCGTTTATCACGATTTCGGTGGTGTCTGCTTTTGGACGACTGACCCTCGAGGCGATGGTCGTCGAGTCTGTCTCTACTATAATGCTACAGTAGGAGTCAGCCAAGGCCAAAAAAATCCAGTAGCATGCAGCGTACCCATCATCTATGGTTTCGTCTAGACAGAGTAAAACAAGATCAAGGTTCTCTAGTACCCCGCGTTTCTCGACTTGATTTCGAAGAAGCATGTGGACTGCATCGGAAAAGGCGACCAAAGCAGAGTAGAGCATAAGCTCATTTTCTGTAGATCCACCAATTATGTAGAAAATGAGGTCGAGGGAGTGTCTGTAGACTGCGAGGTGAGAGTCGTACAGTATGATGTCGCCTATACGCATATATGTCAGTAAAGTAACATAGATATCAAGTTTACAGGCGCACCTCCTGGTTTCTTGGTCTTTTGCCATAGACCTTTCTCAAATGCACGTTGTTCTTTCAGCGTAAGAAGATCCTTGGACTCGCCCTGTGGATGGCTCTTGGGTCGGTAATATTTGGCCAAGACACGGTGTCCTTCCGAGTCTAAAATGAGAAATGCATTGACGCTGTACAATGAGAGATTCATATCGCTGCGATATGGTGAACGTTAGACTTCAAGAGAACTCAAAGCTGAGATTCCCGCTCACAAAGAGACCTTAGGTATCCGTCTATTCTGAGTGCGACACTTTACGAAGCGAGAGCTACGTGTATCGGAGTCCGAAATAGACCTGGGCGCTTCTGCCTGTTACAATGACCACAAAGTGAAACATATCTTCTCTAAGTTAAGAGTTATTGCGTATTCCACCACCAACATCATCTCATTCAGAGGCTCGTTAAAAATATTGTGCTAGAATGCCCCGTTTTAAGCTCGTTTTCTTTACCCCAAGGACCTCTACGCAAACTATTCTTCAGCATCTTTTCGAAAAACACCCTCAAGAGGTAGGCAAGATTGGGCACTACGAGCATTGTGCATTTATAATTCCAGGGACCGGTTAGTTATAACATCCTGTCAACTTCATAAGTTTTTTTTTGTCACAACAATGCGCCGAGGATGTAGGACAGTTCAAGCCTGGTCCAGAAGCAAACCCTACCATAGGTTCGCGGGGTACGTTAGAGTTTGTGGAGGAGGATAGAGTAGAGGTTTTAGTCAATGATAAGGGTGAAAGGGCAGAGCTATCTGCTGCGATTAAGGAACTAAAAGCTGTGAGTAGTTTCGTTTGTAGTCACTATCGTACCTTTTACTCAATATATCTGTATCCTGTTGCGTTTATTGTAGGTCCATCCGTATGAAGAGGTTGCATATGACGTTTATCAATTAGAAGATATATGAACATAAAGAAACGTGGAGGCTTGGCTTCGTCATTCTTGTCTTGCTTTGAGTGAGGAACTTTAACCCCTATCAACTGGCTTATCTACCCTGGATCGGATTATCTGGACACTACGTCTCCTCGTTGCATGTTATGCTTGGATACCAAGCGCTAGTGTCCCCATCGACGGTTCCTCTTACCAACTGATCTGGTTGGAATCGTAAATTGCAGTGTGACATCTCGTGACGTCGAAAGAGCTTCTTCGTGTCACAGAATGTTGTAAAATCGGGTGTGAATTGCAATGTCCATTGGTCAATAACTTAACCTGTGATCGATTGTGAGTATTTAGTTGACTATGATGTGTCATAGCATTGAACGTACTTCAGCAATTTATTTCCTACGGCGCAAGGATGGCTGAAGACAACTGTTCCTTGGCATCTGATCCAGAGTCTCGTTTCAAGCTCATTTTCCTCACACCTAAAAGTTCGACGCAAGATATTCTGCAATATCTTCTGAAGAAATTTCCTCGAGAGCTAGGCAGCATCAGTCCACAAAAACACAGCGCCTTCATTACCTCGGGAATGGGTGAGCATTAAACTTGTGAGTCTTGTCATATCGATTAACTATTTGTTTCACAGATCAATATACGCCCGGTCCAGAAGCAAATCCAACTATCGGGGCGCCTGGTGTTGAGGAGCGCGTAGACGAGAATAAAGTGGAGATGGTTGTCAATGGGGGTGTAGAAGTGCTCAGGCGTGCAGTCAATGAGCTGAAATTGGTGAGCTTCTTTTAATTAGGAGCGCGGTGCATCGTTTATAGAACAAATGATACTTTCCCAAGGTACATCCGTATGAGGAAGTGGGTTATGAAGTATATCGCTTGGAATGTACCTCGTAGCCGTAATACAAGATTTATCTAGCCTAAAGTTAGGTCCAAGTTAATTCCCCCTTGGCGCAGATCATGAGATGATGGTATACAAAGCTTCGTTCGGACACATGGGCTCACTACTGATTGCAGCTACTAAATTCCTGAAATATAATAGATGTGAGCTACAACACCCTGACAGACTGCACATACTAACATCTTATGTAAGTCGCTTTCTAAGCACATGTCGTTTTTACGAAGTTGATGCATCAGTTTATGGTTGATATGAAGTTGAATTTGTCGTGAATGGCATCCAGGGAGCCGATGGATGTCGATGATAAGCCGTGGCTGGTATGCATTTTTGCGTCTTTTTGGAAGAGTGTTATGTTGTGGTGCTGATGGCCATCAGAGGTGTATCTGTACAACGAGTTCGATCGCGAGGAGTACTGTTTAGATGACTTACCTAAATAAAAGTGACCTCATTTCAACGATTTATCTCCCCGATATTACAGAACAACGATTTGCCAAGGAGGTAATGACTCGGGGGTACTCAATGATTATCTGGTTTGCAGGAGCGTTGCCAGGGTGTCCCTTTTATCCGTGAAGAGGAGGTGAATAAGTGAGTGGTCGTGGATGCTACCAAGTTGATTAACTTGTGGCCTCGTGTAGTTGTTCATAGGCTGCGACATCGGAGAGAAATTGCGATATAATGGTGCTGGTGTCCATAAGCACATTGTGCATCTCCCTGCTGGGATACCTTCACCGTCAAAGCTGCGAGTATCGACTTCAGCCTGCGTTCTTGGAAAGACACGGAAGTACACGAAACACTCTCCCGTCGTACAAAGTATTTCGTAAAGCCCAAATTATCGATTGTGGCTTGAAAATAGGCACGGTCAAAGCTTCACAATGGTGACAGGACCTGTCAACCTCCCGGCACGTTCTTTCCGACTTGCCTTCTTTAGATGGGCAGGGACGGTTAACTTAGTGGGAGGAAGAAAAATATGTCGTGTGCGGTGCGTCTTTTGTCCCCGACGAAATTGTCCAAGGTACTAATATCCGCTTGTCAGAATGAGGGGATACGTGCTAAAGCCAACGTGAAAGTGTGAAAGCACAATAGCTTTAAGCTTTGCCCCTGTGTGTATGACTGGTCTTAATCAAGCGTTTGTGGACGAAGAAATGTGATCTGTACTCAGAAGTTACTACTCCGCTCCTTTATGGTGGCCTTCACGGAAATACATCTGACGACGCGAAGCGGAAGCGTTGCTTTGCTGTAGACATTCATTGACCGGTACCCGATAAAACCCCTCACTCCCTCCTTCTCATCTTCCCATCCAAACTCATCCCCCCAGTTGATATTTCTTACTCCCTACTATTTCCTTACTCCATTATCACAATCATGTCCTTCTCTATGGATTTCGACATCGACGAATTCATGAACTTCAATAACCCTGACTTATTTGACGAGAATATGTTGGTTAGGTATGTATCCTGTCTTTTTCTGCACCTTATAACTGACCGTCATTTGCTCTTCTCTTATAGCCATAGTCTTGGAACAGACATGGATTCAAACACGGTTCCCCAACACTTTCCCATAGACGATCAGGTGGACTTGCTCCCTCACTACGTTGGCGACGCAGGCGTCAAACCCAACGAGTATCCAGCAAATTACACCGCGCCCACCTCCGACGTTGTCGGGTGGCCTGTTAGTCGTACTGTTCATTCAATTGGTCCAGCGGATCAATCAGCGTAAGTATCTAGATATCTTTATTCACTCGTATAGTTACTGATACTCGTTTACAGATTACCGCTTCCGATGTTCACAGATCCCTGGGCCCCCCGTCCTTCCGAAACTCTTGATGAGGCACACCATTCTATTTCAATCCGCATGTGTCAGATGTTAAACGACAATGTTCCTCCTCATCGAACTGCCGCGGAGCACTCTAAAATAATCTTCAACGCGTATGTATACCATATTTTATCTATCTTTTATTTTACTGAACGTCTTATTATAGCTTACAGGAGAGTATTGAAGCTGAATCAGACACCGACCTAGTTCAAGCATTGTGTGGCCCTGTGGATCTTCTCGACTACTCTGATACTGTATTGGGAGAGGCCCAGAGCGAAGGTGTACCTCCAATGGATATTGGGACTGCATTTTCCGAAGGGTCTGTCACATCTCTAGCCAGCGAAGCGCAAGCATACGCTGCTGCTTATGCCGCTGATATGTATAACGAGTGAGTATTCCTTATTTTTCTCTCTTCTATCACTCACTAATTTATGCCATCCCATCCTATAGGAACCGCGTATTAAAGCTCTCATGTACCGACAATGCCGCTGAAGTTATCGCCGAAAACGACAGTCACGCTTTCCAGAATTCGTACAGCGTGTTCAACCAGGACGGCTTCACCTCTGCGGCTATGCTCGAGCAAGACATCCCCTTTGATTTTCCCGCCGATCAGCCTGAGCCTACACAGGGAGTTCAGTTTAATGTTTTGCAGGCCCCACTCCCCTTAATGGGCGCTGGCATCAATAATACCCTTGGAGTGCAGCTCATTGGCTCTGGTTCTTCTAGCTTGCCTGGTACTTCCAAACTTGCTGATATCAAGTTTGTCTGCCGTTGGGGCCTCGAACCCTGTGGCAAGCCGATTAGCAAAAATAACGTCAAAAAGCATCTCACGAGGCATCACGGTTTGAAGCTGGGATTGAAGGATGCGGTGCGCTGTGAGTGGGAGGGTTGCAATAGGCAGTTGCTTCTCGCCAACATTAGCCGACATATTGCTACGTTACACCTCCCCATCTGTTTGGTATGCTCAGCATGTGGTCAGGAATTCCCTGGACGAGATGCTGTGTGGAGGCATATCGTGGGCAACCACCCAGGTTACCAGCATGCGGCACCGACCCGGGTTAAACGACACGACTGAGATACCTGTTCTATCATATCAACCGTCGCTTTCTTTTGCATTAATGAGCCTAGCACTTCGTCTTATATCGGCGAGTACTGATTATTTGGCCCCAGTCAGTATACGACTCGAAAGTTACATGTTCTCGACTGTTTGTTTCTTTTCTTACGTTACCCATATCTGCAAAATACTAATTACACACGCTCCTTTACGTCGACACTCTCTAATTGCCTTACCTTTCACTCTTTTGGTTTTTTGCTTACATTTTGATATCTGTCTTTAACATCAGCATCTTCTACGACCCTGACATGTAGCCACATCACCACACTCTTTTATCCCTTACACGTAGCACTCACATCATACTTACTCTTTACTCTAGCTTCTTTTCTGATATAGGCATTTGCCACAACTTGCAGCAATATAATTGGTTATTGATTAAACTATACCTGCTCCCCCTCATCCATAGTAGTTAAGACATGAAAGAGTGGGACATTGAATATTCAGTTTTGTCGCCTCTTTCGAAAGTGCGACAGAGATGATATTATAACATTGACGATCGTTACTACACACACGTTCAGTTCCACATCGCCTGTGCATACAGCCCAAGCGCCTCGTTAGAAAGAATGGGACTATACAGATCAACATCAGCACTAGTGTAGTTCTTCCCGCTCTGTAGCCCGTTCAAAATACCCAGCAGCTGCGTTTCGATGAAGTCGACAAAAACAAGGTCGATAGGAGTGTCGTCCGTGACATTAGGATTATTGCTGCCAATGAAGTCCGGGACAGAATAGTACGGGAGTGGGGTATGTAATGTATCGTCACCAGCGCCGGGACATCCCTAGGCACCAGCGTAATGTCGTAAGTTTCCTTAAATTTGTGATAAGAAACATGATGCCACTCACATCCTGTGTCACGTAACCCAACGTTAGGTTCTGCGACTCACGACGCGAAATACCAGCTCTCCGATCCATCTCCTCCCGCCATGCACGGAAGCGCATATCCACGTATCCTTTGGCCCACAGCTCGGTATCCCACTCGCTTCGCTTACGGCGTTCGTCAGCGCCAGCCTGATTCAGCGCAGGGAGAACCTGGCTTGCGACACCGAAGGTGATGTTCGGGATGTAGAGGAATGAGTCGGTGAATGGCGATGCGGTGAGTTGATCGTTCTTGGTGAAAGGCCCAGCGAAGATATTGAAGCGCTGAGAACCGGAATTGGTGATCATGATGTTGGGGATCGAGGCACGTGTGTTGTTGATGGCAAGGGCAACTGGGACGGCCTACAACGAACAGTGAGGATGCTCGGTAAGCTGAATACAGAAGATTGATGCCTACATCTTCGATGAATAAAGACAGCAGCGAGCCATTAGATGGGTAAGGATTTCTAGTGTTAAACCCTCGTTAGAAAAATTCGGTAAGCCACTGTTGGTGCTCACTCGTTGATGGTGTAATCCTGTGGAGATGTTCCATACATATATGCTAGATCGAATGCAACGGCGAGTTCCTGCAAGCCATAGGTGATGTTTCGACCCTCAGAAGTGTCAAAAGTAAAATTGCTCTGGCCAGTGTGATACTGTGATGATTTATGAATTGCATGAATCAGGACGTGAACGAGTACTGAAAATGATGTTTCGACATACCTCGTAAGTAACACGATTCTGGTCCATATATCTCCTTGTGAAAGAAATGTTGTTCGCGTTACCCTTGGCAGCATCAAGGTCCGCACCTATCCACCATAATTAATCGCCCACGTACTGGTCAAGTATGAAAAGTACTCACTCATCCAACCTTTATCCCAAATGTAAACTCGATTAAGGAGCTACACAAATATGACAGTCGCAAAATGGCCTCACCAATCGTCTCCATGTAGCGTCCACTCTCAAGCGCCATAGAACGTCCGTCATACTGCTGGCAGTCTCGTATATGCGTGTGTCCTTTGAGTTTACCAAGTCAGCACTATTAAAACTCTAGTTATGCGTTACATGAGCATTTAAGTACGTGCCTCCGAAGATCAGAATAGGTGCCAAAGGATGCACGGCACGGACTGCGTCAAATACAGTGGGCCCTGTTCAGTACGTTCAGATCATTGATGTTGAGGATTTTTCCAAAGAGTATACGAGACGTACAATGGTCGTACGATACTGGCATGTGTCTGTAACATAGTAACATAGTTGAAGTTGATACGTATCTCACAGCTGGTGCATGCGGCTCTGACTCACCCTACAAGAACAAATAGATCAGGCTCTTCAGCAATGGCTTCTGCAAACTATTAATTGACGTATGACGGAAAAGTTCCAGCAAAGCAAATAGAGGCGAGGACACGAATAGTTAATTGACACAGGTTATAGAGTACATTATAAAGAAACTCACCCATTGTTCCTTGACCATATCTTCTACAAACTGCACAGTAGTATTTACGTCATTTCCCGTAAAATCGTAGAGAACACCTAAGGAAGTGACGCGTCGACCCCTGCACACACGAGAGCGATACTAAGTATATCAACTAGCAAGGAAAAACTAACTTACTTTCTCGTGGTAAATTTGGTAAAGCGGTCTAGGAAGTCATGATCAGCAAAAGTCCAGTGGTTTTGCCAAGGCTAGCATGAAGCTATATATGAACCATACTCACTGCCAATAGGTACACTGACAGGTTCACCCTCCTCATTGAAGACAGTGATATTGGCGTTAGAGGAGAGGTACCGGCCGTGCAGATTCGGAATGAAGTTGTTGTACCTGATTGTAGGACATCGCACGGACAGACGAGGGTTTTGAACCAAGTAAACTTACATGTCAAGCGTGTCTGCATAGATATACAACTCGTGGCTTGTAGATGATCAGTCAAAACTCCAAATCACGACGAGAAAACATACTCACTTTCCGATAGACATAACATCGTACGGAAGCATTTCCATAAATTTATTGGACTAGGTCAGTGTGCTTAGTGTGCTCGAGCGATCGACCACATGACTAGGAAACATACATCATGAGCATCTACGCCGCCTGGAGGGAAGCCATCTGAGAGACCAGTGCCTAATACAGAGATTGAGCTATGTAAAACACGAGCTTCGGACGGAGGAAGTCAAATACCATCGTGCAAGTCACCAGAGTCAACAAGCAGGAGATCAACATCTTTTTCCTGTATGTAATCAACAGTCTGTCATTTTCGATGATTACGAGTGCTCACAATGGCAATCTGTTTCATATGCGCGACAAAGCTAGAAAAATCACCAAGGTCTCCGCTGCCATGCAATCACAACCATTAGTATTCGATCGCCACGTAACACCTTGAACTCGTGTAGTCTTTGACGCGACCTATCATGCTTACCTATAATCGGGCTCTGGAAAAGAAAGCTTCTGGTGTCCGAGGAGCCATCCGTGTGTATCCGTAGTGTGGATCACGTTGAAATCACTCCAGACGAGCGGACGATACGGAGGTGTGAGCGGAACTTGAGGATATTCTCTCCTGTGAAGGGTATGATCGTGGCTGTCGTGATCTGCGCACCCGAGGATGACAGAGGCAACAGCGAGTAAAGTAAGCGGTGCCAAGAGCATCTCTGCAAGCCTGCCTATAGGAAAATAGAGAATTAGCTCTAAACAAGGCTCAGGTGTTGCGATTGGCAAGTATATAGACACTTTCGTGAGTGTGATAGTAAATAGAAAACTGTCACGGTGTTATCATTAGGCTGTTCTTTCCATGTGCCCATCCATGTCCTGTCCATACGGTCAACCCAACCCTTACTGAGGCGCTAGAGGACCTTATCGAAGGTATTATTAACCGTGGAATCGCGGAATTGAGCATTGTCAGGTTCTCCAAGCCACATCGTGTCTTTTCTCATGACATTTTCCCAACCAACACACATGTCCGTGTCCGAGAAGCACAGTTTCTTATGACGGGCCCACCTGTGAAGCTTCAGGTGTTCAAATGTTCCAGTCAAGACTAAGATAAAAGCGGCTGTTGAAAATAATAATATCCGTGCTCGGCGGCGTCCAAATTTTCATCCAAGACCAAACGGCTACTATAAATCTGCTGAGAACCATTCTTCGACTCTGACAAAGTGTAGCGTGTAAGTTATCTAATTAGTAACATCCAGTGACATGGCCTGACAGGAATTCTTGGAATCGATGATGGAAGAAGGACTCCAGGATGTCACTGACAATTCCTACCGCATCAGGAGACGGAGGAATTTCCATAATGTCATACAATGACCTTATAAGGCTTAGAATGAGTAACATGCCAATAATAATTGTACCTTGGACTGTAAGGCTTCATGATACAATAGCTTTGTTCAGAGTGTCCTCGCGTAGCTACAGACTGTTTTCGCATAGCTGCTGTACAGGCCATGTCATTGCTACCCGAATGGCCTTACCTCAAACCCTAGGGTATTTTTGTGGATAGAAATCCAAAAAATATTCATGGCAAACCTGAATTTGTGGAGGCGGATATTCTTGGGAAAGCTAGTATATTGAAGCACCAATTCAATCCCTTCATCAATGGGGACGCCCCTCCATCTGATGACCCGCTAGCAGCCCTGCTTCCAACCTTGAGGTTCCTCATGTTGTCCCACAGCATCGATGACATCTCTGACAACAACAATCAGAGCCAGCAACTGTCTGGTGAAGGCCACAGCATCACTAAGACTCTTACAAGTTGCAAGACAGGATCAGTGTTACAATTGACATACCAGCACCTACTTACGCTTCATTTTTTGTATTACTTTTACTTTTTCCAAGTCACATGACCAGTCATGTGACCATTTACTTTACTTTACATTTTCGGACTTTTCATAGTCACATGACCAATCATGTGACACATCACCTGACCAGTGTCTAGGCTCACCATGTGACTGGTCACATGCTAAACATCAGACTTTAAACTTTATTTACAACTGTACAGTATCTCATGTATTTTAGTATATATACAGGAGCAATACATGGGGAAGGACTCAGTGAGTCCTCCTGTTGTCTACCAACAACTAACTAATAAAACATATAAAACTCAGCCGCTGCCCGAGAGGCTATAGAAACGACTGAGGTATTCCTATACTAAACCCCCTACTACTTATAGTCGGAGGTGCTACTTGCTACAGTATAATGACTCCTAGGAGTACAATTGTGCTCCTAGGAGAACAATGGTTACTCCATGGAGTGGTGGCTATGCTCCATGGAGAACAATGGCTGCTTCGGCAGAGACCGGGTTTATCCGGTTTTGTCACTAACTTGGTCCTACCAAATGGGTAACCACTCCCACCTCTTCCTCTTCTTTTAAGTGTTGTCTTTGCTCCAGTGCCCCAAGACTGTGTCTTGTTGGTGTTGTCACAATCAGTGCAGACTCTTGCGTCCCAAGGCAATCCCCTGGCTCCATCTCACATTACTTGGTCAAATAAATGTTAGTTTTGGTGATTCTGCACCTAGTTGTGCTATCTATTTTCCCTTCTTTCTAAATCACTTTCCTCTTTATTCTTTTTGCTCTATTGTTCAGTATTCACTAAGCATTCTATAATTTTGCCTTTGTGGCTGATTTGTTTACCTTTGTTTATAAAACTTCGGACTAGTATTGCAGAGCCCAGTATTCCTATTCTTTAGTTACTCATACTGGACTCTGGGTACTGTACACATTCTGTACTCTCTGATAATATAGTTACTTATACTGGACTCTAGTTCTGTCCCTGTTAGCTCTCAGCAAGTGGCTAGACACTTCCCAGAAGTTTCAATTGAACAGGTTATGAGCCCTGTGCTCTAGTCATCTTCCTGACTTCATACCTCATCATCCAAGCACCCTACTGCTTATCCCTCTTGCAAATTGTCTTCTGGGTCTCTGATAACCCTCTCTATCATCTCTGTTTGTTTTGATTCCATCTAGATCACTCCCTATAAGCCTTTGTTGCTTGGAACCTCATTTTGAACACTTTTTTGGCCTTATCAGTGCCATATCTCACCCAATCCTTATCTGATTGTCCCCAAACTCCTACCATTGTCTTCTACAACCTTGAAAACCCTAGGAGATTCCTCAGAGTGGTGGATTTTGAGTTTGATCTCCCTGTGAGCCCCTATCATTGTCTGATTACCACTTCCACCCCTATTATACTCCTCCACTCTCTGTGCTTCATTTCTGGCCATACTTGGCCTATCTATTGCACCATATAATCGCTCTACACACCTATATTTTGGGGGCAATTCATCCACTCCATCTGTCCCTGTGACAATTTCGATTTTTTGGCCTATATTTTCGCTTTTTGGTATATCTCGTGCTTGCATAAAGCTCCAATCTCTTCTGCTCTGTCTATTATCAGATAGAACAAGCCTATAGCCTGTGAAGCTCACCTGCATTGCCTCAGTTTGCTGTTGCCTAGAGCCTCTCTCAGCCTGCAGTGTTTGGGGAGCTTAAGTCACTTTGTTGACTCATATACAAGCCCTTTTAACCAACGCTGTCTCGAGGCGGTTTCTCTGTTAATATCAGTGTAGTATTGAAAGGGGAACACAGGTGTAACCCTGTAGCATCACTAGGAAGCCTTAGCACCTTCCTGAACTGCTTTTGGACCGTTTTTTTGGACTCTTTTGGACCCTTTGGACCTTTCTGTGCACTTTTTGGACCTTCTCCATTATCCACCTCCACTGCTTTGCCAGCTCATTTCCACACCATGGATAAAACAAAATGTACTCCTCATTTATCTTCTGCTCCTACTCATTGTTCTTGCTCATCTCCTAACTGCCATCATTGTAACCAATCTGCCATACCTGGTGCAAAATATCATTTTTCTACTATGGTTGCAGAGTGAGCTAGAAATGCAAGCCTCCACTCTATTCATCCCTCTGACCCACACTGCCCTCTCCAACTTGATGCCAACATTGATTGGAATGCAGACACAGGTGCTACATCTCATATGACACCTCATTGTCACTGGATTCGCAATTATGCGCCATATCGTGTTCCCATAAAGCTAGCAGATCATACTGTTGTTTATTCAGCTGGTATTGGTACTGTGGTGTTTAACCCTGTCATCAATGGCAAAGAATCAAGGGCTGTAGAATTCTCCAGAGTGCTGCATGTACCAGATCTTCGAAATAATCTCCTCTCAGTCTTGTACTTGACTCGCCAAAGTGGCTTTAAAGTCACCATTTCATCTCAATCTATATCCTTCATACGCGACAACACTCCCTTATTCACTGCAACCATTAACAACAATAATGCTGCATTCCTTGATGGATCCACTGTTTTTTGTGTTGAATTGGGACACTTTTCTGCAACAATTCCACTTGATTTAAACCTTTGGCATCGAAGATTGGCTCACCACCACTATGCTGATGTCAAGAAATTGACACAAGGAGACCTTGTTACTGGAATGACACTTGAGTCTAAATCTACTCCTGATCCTATCTGTGAACCATGTCTGTCTGGAAAAATGTCTGCCAACCCATTCCCTTCATCTTCTCATCGCTCTGCTCACCCTCTAGACCTCGTCCACTCTGATGTACACCAAGTCTCCTCCCCTTCATTCTCTGGGTATCGATATTGGGTCACCTTCATCAATGATTACACTCAATTTTGTGTTGTTGTCCCTTTGAAGGCCAAGTCAGATGTCTTTAATGCTTTCAAGAGTTTCAAGGCTTATGCTGAGACTCAATTAGAGCGAGAAGTCAAGGCTTTGCGTGATGACAAAGGGGGAGAGTACATCTCCAAGGAGTTTGAGCAATTCACAGATGATCATGGCATTGTCAGACAGCATACCACCCGGAATAGGCCTCAGCAGAAAGAGCAAACAGGCTTCTCTCTGAAAGAATCACTACCATGCTTTCGGAGTCTGGATTGCCTAATATCTTCTGGGGTGAATGCCTAGGTGCCTTGGTGCATGTCTGGAATAGGTGTCCCACTGATGCAGTGGTCAATGCTACTCCTTATCAATTGTGGCATGGACATAAACCAGACATGTCACACCTTCGTGTTTGGGGGTGCACTGCTTATGTGCATGTGCAAAAGGATAAGAGAGGTGTCTTTGGCTCTCACATGGAGAAATGTGTGTTCATTGGTTACCCTGCTGGGTACAAGGGTTGGAAATTCTACAATCCTACCACCAAACACACCATTATCTCTGAGAGAGCTGATTTTGATGAGCGCTACTTCCCTGGCTTGAAAAAGACTTCTACCACTGCCATTCCTACTCCACCTTTGCCACCTTCACTTCCCATGCCTTTAGGCCTGGATGAGGATGTCCCTGAACCAGGTCCAGGGGGAGATATTGACCCACCAGCTGTACTTCAGCAACCTCAGCAACCTCAGCACTTGCCTGATGATGGGCCTGATTTGGACCTTGATGCAAAACCATCTGTGAATCAACCTCTTGAGCTTCCAGATCACCCTCCTCATCACTCACCTTTGACAAAACCAGATAAACCCGGTCTCTGCCGAAGCAGCCATTGTTCTCCATGGAGCATAGCCACCACTCCATGGAGTAACCATTGTTCTCCTAGGAGTCATTATACTGTAGCGAGTAGCACCTCCGACTATAAGTAGTAGGGGGTTTAGTATAGGAATACCTCAGCCGTTTCTATAGCCTCTCGGGCAGCGGCTGAGGTATGTTACATTATATTCATTAGAGATCACCTTAAACTAACATCTATTGTAGTTTCACTTAGTTTTATTAGGTTATGAGCCCTGGTGCGCAAAAGCTACGCAGGAAATAATTATTATTTGAAACGGCAACCTTGGAACCATGACCACAGCATGCGATACATCCGCATGTCCAGTTTTCACTGGACCCAACAATTTTCAGATATGGAAACTCCGGATTATCTCAAAGCTACGTCGGGAAAAAGTTCTCCGGGTTGTTACTGGAGAGGAGCTTAAGCCCTCACCAGGAAAACCTACCTCCTCGGAGGATCCTGAGATCACCTGGATACTTAAGGATGAGAAGGCACATGGAATCATCCAGGACCACATCTCTGATGCCCTCCTAATGAGGACTGGAGACCTCACCAGCTCCAAGGAGTTATTTGATAAACTTGTCTCACTCCATCAAACGTCTAACATTGCCTCGGCCTTCTATTCATTCCAGCAACTCACCAAATTGTCCTGGGATGGGACATCACCTATCCAGGACCACATTGTGAAAATCCGGACAATTGATTCACACATCTCTGGAATGAAACTAGGAGTTGATACCAAACTCATGGCTTTTGCTCTTCTCCAATCTCTCTCATGTACTCCTGAATGGCAAATATTTCAGTCATCAGTAATCAACACGATTGAAGAAAATAAACTTACCTTTGATACAGTTGAGATCCGGATCACTGCAGAAGTTGCATGACAGTCAGGGAAGGCCCCTGGAGGTTCCGAATCAGCACTCAAATCCGAGGAGAAATTGTGTAACTTCCACAAAGCCAAATCACACAACACCTCGGAGTGTCGAACACTTCAGTCAGCTGAAAAAGGTCAAAGGAAGAAGGGAAAGGAAAGACACAAGGATAAAGGAAAAGAGAAGGAAAAGGCAAATACAGCGGAGCAATCATCCGGATCTGACTCCGAGGAGGAACAGAGTCATATTGCATTGGATCATGTACATATTTCCAAGCCCCTTGCTAAACACATTCAAGCTTACCTTGTGTCGGAACCCGATAAGACCAAAACAACAATTATTATTGACTCTGGAGCAACATCCCACATGGTCCCTCACCGCTCCTGGTTTGAGCCAGGAACATACCATGTTCTGCATCCTCCGAGGACAATCAGTTTTGGGGATGAATCCTCTGTAAATGCCATTGGCATTGGAACAGTAATCCTACAAGCAACTGTTGGCAAAAAGGACTACAATGCTGCACTGTCAAATGTCTTACTTGTTCCAAACTTCACGTTAGCACTCGTCTTTGTCCACAAATTGTCCAAAACGGGGTTATCAACACTTTTTCCAGCAGGGTCAAATGCTTGTGAAGTTCGGAAAAAGGAGGAACTTATCCTCACTGCGTTACACAAGCGAGGACTTTATCACATCCAAGCAAAACCTGAAATCAACCCGGAGTCAGCTTTTGCAGCAGTAGATGTAAATTTATTGCCCAGGAGAATGGGACACATTGGAATAGACCGTTTGCAATGAATGGTTACAAAAAGACAGCTCCAGGACATAGACACCCTTACCGGAACCCCGGAGTTTTGTGAACCTTGTGCTTTAGGAAAGATGAAGAAATTACCTTTCAAGTCCACTGGAGGAAACCGAGCCAAGCGCCCCATACAAATTGTGCACACAGATGTTGGAGGACCAATCAAACCAACTTCCAGGGAGGGTTTTCGGTACTGGATTATCATTGTAGATGATTTCTCCAAATTTCCATGGATATATTTTCTAAAACATAAAAGTGAAGCACTGGAACAATACAAGCAATGGAAAGAAGATGTCCAAACATTCTTGTGGACTCATTTGGGAGAAGAAAGCTTCACTCCACTATACACAGAATTCCTCCGGAGCGATAAGGGAGGAGAATATACTGGCAATGCATTCAAAAATCAACTCCGAGGAGATGGTGTCATCCAAGAAACTACAGCTGCAGATACTCCGGAACAAAATGGTATTGCAGAACACATGAATCAGACATTGGCTACATTAGCAACCACTATTCTCCATGATTCCAAGCTCCCAAAGTCATTTTGGGTAGATGCCATGCAAACAGCTGCATATATCACAGCACGCAGCCCAGTATCAGGACTCCATGGAAAGACCCCATATGAAATACTGTTTAAAAGGCGAGTTGATCCAACTTTGTTTCGCCCTTTCGGATGCCAAGCATATGCCTTGATTCCGAAAGACAAAAGGCAAGGGAAGTTTTACTCCAAGGGGCGCAAAGCCATAATGATTGGCTACACACATGGAAAGCAAGCCTACAAACTCCTAGATACTGAAAAACGGACTGTGTTTTCCAGTCGGCATGTCATATTCAATGAATCCGGAAAGGTACAAAAGGCTGACACTGCTCCCTGGAACACAGACACTAGCACAGATCAGTGGGAGGGACTCATTCCAGAGAATGCTTACTATCCAGACCAAAAAACATTGGAGGAGGATGATCCTGACCCTCGGATCCAAGATCCAAATGAATTGCAAATGGAACCACATCTCCAAGGAGATGTTCCACAAGCAATGGAACCATATCAGCATGAAGATGTTCCGAGAGCAGTGGGGCAATACCTCCGTGGAGACGTTCCGAGAGCAGTGGGAGCACCTGATCAGCTAAGACACCCTCCACAACAGTCTCTACAACCAAGACCTAAACACTGGCCATCTTCAGAACGGAAAGCCAAAGTAGAGTTACAGTCAGTGGGAGGACAGCCCCTCAACATACAGCCAGCTGATGTGAAAAAAGTCCGAATACAGCTAGACAGCCTGTCCATTGGATCAGCTTCTGGAAGGCATACAATACCTCCAAGGAGTCATCCAATGCCTCCGAGGAGTGATTCAACACCTTCAGGAGTGAGGGGGGCAACAAATACACAAATGTGTCTACTCCCTGGAGTACCTGCACAAGTTCCTAAAAGAGCAGTCATGCCTGCTGAAGTCCTAGGAGTACGCAGAAGCAGTCGCCAGACCCGTCCTGCAGACAAAAACCGAGATTATCAAAGGACTCTAGATGAGGAACAGTCTCGAAAAGAGCAGCATAACAACTCCATGGAGAAACCTAACACTCCTGAGGTTCATGAAGAAACATCTGATATAGAGGAGACATTCTTTGCTGGAATAGCAAGTACCGGTCCATCTAACACAGACCTTCCAATAACACTAAAGGAAGCCTTATCATGTCCGGATGGAGAATTATGGAAGTCTGCCTTGGAGGAGGAATTCCTAAGTCTCAATACTAATGCAGTATATGACACTGTTCCACTTCCGAAGGGAGTAAAACCCATCACATCGAAACCTGTGTTCCGGATCAAGTTTGATCAAAACAGAAACATTGAGAGATACAAACTCCGGATTGTTGCACGAGGTTTTACTCAAAGGGAGGGGATTGATTACCAGGAGGTTTTTGCTCCGGTCGCAAACTTAGAGTCAATCCAAATTATTCTAGCCCTGGCAGCGAAGTATGACCTAGAACTTGATCAAATGGACGTATCCACAGCTTATCTCAATGGAGAACTTGGAGAAGAACTGTACATGCTTCCTCCAGGGGGTGTTCCTATCCAACCTGGATACTGCTGGAGATTGATGACCCTGAGACATTTTTCAAAGAACTTGAGGCAGAAGAAAGATTAATACAGATAAATCTTCATAATTTTGAAGACACCACTATTGATGATCAATACTATCACATCAGAGCTCAAGGCACAATGGCACAGAGACTAGCCGAAGCCGCGGGCAAAGATCAGAAAGAAGGCGGATTTGAAAAAATTGTGCCGAAACACCTTCATTAATACAAAGACATATTTGATAAGAAGGAGTTTGATGCACTGCGTGGCACTTTGCCCTTGTTTAAACTCCTCTTTCTTGCGCTGTGCTGCCTTTCTTCTTATTTTAGCTATCATAGAAATTGCCTCCCCAAAAAAGTACATCAGGGGTACCCA